TCTAAAAATAGAAAAATTGTCCCATATCATAGGTGCGCGCGAATCCCGAGACTTACGGTCTCCGTCCCCGATTATGGCTCCTGGCATAACGTAACACTTGCCACGCCGAGAGTTGTCCCGGTTAGGCGAGCCAAAGCGTTTATATGAAGAAAAGTTGTCCCGCTTGCCAGGGTTACCCTACCTGCAGAGGCGTGACAACTCGCCCACCCGAGTTGTCTTGGCTACACTACTAGCTAGAGGACTATTAGTAATAAATATTTCTTCAACTTGCATTTGCTAACTTTATTATTGCCTTTTCTGTCCGACTAGTTGGGTGATACCAAAACAGTTAGACCCTTCGCCCTCAATGGCCACAGATCAATAGCCCATTCATCTTCGCCTCATGGGCTATTGACCCGTAGCCCGCAAGGGCTACGGGTCTAATTGCTAATTAGACACCAGACTTTAGCCGATAGTCAGAGTGGTAGGGTCTTTCTTCAAATCTTATTTGTACAAAGAGAGCCAGTGATACGATGAAAAATATAAAAAGAGTCCGGTCTATGTTCCTCTTCAAAAAGAGACCTTCGAGGTGGGGGCGGGGAAGAGGGCAGCGAGACCGAAAGAGGAGTCCCGAACTGCGGCTGGCAGAGTCCTCCGCACCACCTGGGCTGACTGGGCTCGGACTGTCATGGGATCTGTCATGGGCTCTCTGTCCTCTCCGTCGAGCTCTGAAAGCCGCTGCCCTACAGATACTCAGGAGTACTAGTATCTTGACAGACGGATTGCGGACGTGCATATGGACCAGGGACCCCTGCCCTGCTATGGACGGATGGATGGACCGATGGACAGACGGACGGACGAGCAGGATGATTCGACTGATTGATTGATTGATGTGTGTGTGCGTGATACAGCCCGTTCGTTAATTCGTCAGGTTCAAGTTCCGAGCTGTATACCATGATTTCTCTTTCCTTGATTTATCTGGAGCAAGAAGTCCCCATCAGTAAGGCAACACACTTTCACAACCTCGCTCCCAGGGTTTCATTTCAACCCACTCCCTAAGTAGAGAGGCTCTGAGAACGAGTTTGTCACTTCATTGTATTTGGAAGGTGCTCCAAGGGAACGTAGGCCTTTATGGGGTAAGATTTTATTGTCTTGATGGTTATATGATGTCTGTTATAGCAAAATGTGGTCCTGTGTGGTATATATTTATTTGAGATCTATCCAAGTTGAGTGTAATTCTATGCGTCAAGGACTCAAGGCTTGTGCATGTTGCGTGCGAAAGAAGCATGAGCTTAAGCTTACATGTGCACGAGTGTTTTCGGTAAATCAGTTTTAACTGCGATAAGCTAAGTTTGTGAACACCATAACTGGATTATTAGACTAAGAGGGTAATAAACTGAAAAAGGAAAATTACTATGTCACTGATAAAACTATTTGGGTTAAGAGAGAGCATTCCAATTCCTACACCACACCGTACAAGCGCTGAATCTGGGGTCACGTGACAAAATATTTTGCCAAGAAATTTTTTATATTGTGGGCTATAACTTAAAAAAATACAAGAAGTGGAAAGAGCATATAAGAGCATTATTGCCAGGTTTGAGGCCCCTTGCATTAAAGAATAAGATTTTATGACGGTGCCTCAAACTGGCCATTTTGATATTTTGGCATGCTTTTTCCATTTCTGTATAGCCCATAATTTTATGAAAAGTAGGTCACGTGATAGCCCAGCTGCAAAGGGCCTATAAAGAACACTCAATCTAAAGCTTAATGTATTAAACTATAACATTTCGAGAGACTTTTCCTCTGTTTTGTTTCATTTTTTATTCACTATGATTTTTATGAGTAAATCTCAGTACCTATGGTATAAATAGATTTGAAACTTCAAAATGCAACCTCTAGGCAACCCCCAGGCATTTGACATTTTTAATTCTAAGTTGGTCAAATTCCCATCCCCTTGGCCAAAAATGGCATTTAAATGTCTTAAATGTCTCAAAGTTCTCTACCACCAGTCAACTATGGCAGAAATAAGTAGTGGAAAGAAAACAAGTTCTCCATGAACAGCAAGTCATAGAATTTATAATTTCAATTTCCAGGCCTGGAAAGTCATGGAATTTAAGTGAGGGTCATGGAAAAGTAATATGCTTAATTCTGAGGATAAATGTCAAAAAGATAACAAAAAGTTGACAAATAACAGACGAGTCAGAAACAGACTTCAATTTCAGTAGAAATAAACATAATTGGGCGTTTTATGCATTACAGAGTCGGACAATACCTTAAATAAATGACTGGTTTGACAATACTACTGTAAGAACAACTCCTTAAAGGTGATTTCCAGTCCGTACTGCACACTCTCAAGAGCTTGTTTGCATTTTTTTCTTTTGTCACAAAATGTAAACATTTCACACCTACTTCAAAGTTTCAAAACAACCGCCATTATGGAAGCTTTATGCTTCGTTCTTTCTCATAGCGCTTCATGAAACAACTTTGCAGCAGTAACACTCAATGAAGCTGTTGGAAAAAGAATTTGAAAGGCCTCAAAGATAACGTATGTGGTTCATAATGAATAACATTGATTTGCATTCCATCAAGTGAGATTTATAATGTTTATAAACATCAGGGTGCTGAGACTGCGCAGTACGGACTGGAAATCATCTTAAACGTAGCTCATGAAAAAGGTCATGGAAAGTCATGGAATTTTAAAAGCTCAGAAGAGTATGAACCTTGAATTGTACTTTGTAGCTTCACAAGGTAACTTGTTCAAATTCCCCCCTCCCCTACCTTCTCATATAGTGTTAAATTCCCCACCCCAATGTTAAGCGCTAATATCAAATGGCCAATTCCCTCTATGAGACATGCAGGGAATCATGGTAGTTGTATTCATCATCTTGGACTGGATGTTATTTTGATGAATACAACTACCATGATGCCCTGCGGATGCATCTCATCAATTAATCAAATGCCCTGGGTTTGCTCCAGACAAGATGCTGATGTTTCTACTTCAATGATACATAATTTAATCACTTAATCAGGGCTAGAAAAAAACTTGAATTCCACTCAGCTTTCCCTCGGGACAAGTAGCCCTTAAATTTGCTTGCCCTGAGCAAGTCTTAGTTTGCCTTTTTAATGATTTAGTTGGTAGATGAGTTCCCTGATCCCTTGCCCAGGGGCAGGTGGGAGTTAAAAGTTACTTGCCCAGAAGGAAATCTACTTGTCTCGGACAACCGGATGGCACTTTTTTCAAGCCCTGCTAATAGCAACTGCCCCTTACAAGTGATCAGCTGATTTAGTAATGAGCAGAACAAAACAAGGTGCATTCTGAAGTTTCATTTTATAAACCTCAAGCTGGATATGTAATTTAGAAATATTGTTAATAACTATAAATAATAAAATACTTTTGTCACTTGGGCTATTGGAATGTGGAGGAATCAGGGAAGTGAACAGATAATAGATATTTGTGCTGCATGTGGTAGCTTCTTAGTAGTCAGGGAATGTTAAGGATATCAGAGTGGGATAAAGGATAAAGATTTTGGATGCAAGAATTGTAAGTGGAATGCAACGGAATACAGAACTTCAATTTTTCTGTTGCTGCAAAAACTTAACAGCACAAAACTTGCACAATTGCACCCTCTGTAAAAAGCGAACTGATCAACATGACACAAGCATGGGACAAAGAAAAATCTGAGTCCCCAACGGGAATCAAACCCATGACCTCTTGAACACTGGGCGGGCGCTCTATCCACTTATCTACAAGAACTCATAGAGAGCAAGGTCATTTAACTGAGTTCATATGTGACAGGCGCCCTGCATGCTGCTGGGATCAGCACTGTCGAAGTCATCATGAGTGTGATAAGTGAATAAAGATGGCAAATTTTAAGCTCGGCAATGAAATGTGAAAAGTGAACTGATCAACATGACACGAGCGTGGGACAAAGAAAAATCTGAGTCCCCGACAGGAATTGCACCCATGACCTCCTGAACACTGGGCAGGCACTCTATCCACTGAGCTACGAGAACTCATTGAATCCTTTGTGGGTATACGTATGTTAGGTTTCAAATAATGAATAGCAGGTGCCCTGCATGCACTTCGTCAACATGTACATGTATTATAACTTAGGCTGGCATGCATGAGTCAGTACAAGACTGCATGAAGTCTCCAAGTCCTATATTGATCTCCTGTGTTTATTAAGAGGGATAATCTGGAGCAAAGTGTCCTGTCTAGGGAAACAACTCAAGGCAATAGACCAGGACTCAGGCCCACTGACCTCCAGAATGAATTGAAACAAAGACAAGCTAACACACAACTCCAAATACTCAGCCAGTTGTCATCTGAAAAAGTAGGACTGGGTATGTGGAAATAAACAGTGTAAAGTTTATCTTTTACTGATATGTGGAAAAAAGGAAGTAAAACAGAATATACACACAAAAAGAGACATTACAATCATTATTTTGTGGTGCCTTGTCAGGTAACCTTGGCAAGATAGGACTTTTAAACTGTAAGAGATGTTTATTTTAGAGCAATGACTAACATAAAAACGTTTTTTACTAAATCAGTACAATCAAGATTTCAAGTTAAACTAGTGAGACAATCTCAGATAGTGCAGAGTCTAATGCATAGCTCTGATGCAGTACTCATGACACAGTTCTATATAACCCACTCCTGGTTTGTACTGACCTTGCTAGTCAGCTAGGGATTTTGATGAGACATAATCTTAGCAGTGTGAATGTTTGATGTGTGTATTTTCATTCACAGTCCAAGAATAACTTACAATTAATGACCTTTTGTCAAGACAGCTCTCGAATTTCACTGTGTTTTACGTTGATTTTTGCTCATTTCAAATTAAATAATACGTTTGAGTTGCGAATGTGACAATTTTACTCTTCACGAAAACGTTTGTAACTTGATACTTTTGTTTTCCTCACAAAGGTATGTAACCTAAAACTCTTGTTTTCTCGAAAACAAACGGAAGATGTGCTAGTATTCTTTTCACAGCTGGAGATAAATGGAAGAAAGTTAAATGTCGGATGAAGAAATGGAAGAGGAACAATTTGTTTTATTTAAAATGCGCATTTTCTTTTGACCGATAAACAGGAACTAATCTAATTATCAAATTGTCATGGAACAGCATGTTCTGTTTCCACGTTAAAAAATAAAACCACTTAAATACACACTGATATCGGTCAATACAACTAAGGAGCATTTCAACGAGAGGTATTGAAAGTAAACAAGGCTACTTGAGCGAGATTATATCCTTCATCGGTGAACACTCTCCCTCAAAGACTGATAAAATTTATGCTTTCAGTAGGTGCCACGGAGTCTGCAGCAATATTTGAGCAGTTACCTGGTTTTTTTGTTCAATTTGACAAGTTTTAATGCCACTTACTCAGGANGTGTAGTTTGGAAACAATAGATGATATTTCTTGAACCAAGTTAGGCATAATTCCAAAAGACATGCAGTCACAGGAACATCCTTGTATCGTGCTAACGATGCTAGAACGTATGCATATGACTTATTAGGGTTTTACCACAAGGAAAAGCACTCAACGTTAGTGTGTGATGTTGTATGAAATGTATCTTCCACCTAATATATTTAGTTGACACTAATGCTTATTAATCTGCGCATGCATTTCGAGCAAATATTGGTTTTGTTCTAAAGAGAAAAGTACCACAAGGAGAGCAAGGGGCTCTCTGAAACAAATATATAGCTTTTTGAAGTGATCAATGAAGTAAGATAGGTACATGCATCACCTATTTAATGTAGTGCTCACAAGTACCTACCCCATCCTAACCCCCCTTGCTGCAAGCCCAATTAATTAATTGAAATTAATTAATAAAAAAAACATTTAAGTTTACACCTTATTTCCAGAGTGCCATAGTGCCTTACTGCCATAGTGCTTTAGCAACAGCAACCCCCAAACCACCCCAACAATGCACTCTGCACTAAAAGGGTAGGATGACAGTATGAACAGTTAAAAAATGGGTGGGAAGGCAGGATTTGAGAACTCTATTGTGGATCCTCACTATTCAGTGGCTAATCAAACTATTATTAATAGTAAAGATGGTCATTACATCACCGGAGTAATTAATGAGCCACAAGAATTGTAAATGTCTTTAAGTAGTCCCCTAAATGTCAGTGGCAGGAGTGAGTGGTAAACCATGTTCACTACAAACACTGCCCAGGCAAAGCTATGATATGGGTGTCAAGATTTAGCTTAGGCTGCAGGAGATTACACAACAGAGTTATATGAAGTAGGCAAAGCATCAGGGGTGGTGGGGGGCAGGGGGGGAGGATGGGTACAAAATGTAGATGTAATTTATGAACATGTGACTTGGCAACAAAGGCAGAAAACCTTCTTTAACTTTCTCTTCTTCCAGAACCTTTACATGAATGCAATTTATTGCATACAGAAGTCAGGCCCTCCAAGATCTAGCCACGCTGCTAGTCAATAGAAGTACACAGTACCAGCCACATATGCCTGTCTCTTCAAGGTGTTTTGCTCTTGTTGTATCCCTGTTGATTTTAATCATCTTCTTTGGTTATTGTTTGACAACATGGAACAATGATACAACAAAGAAAATAGTTAGCAAAGATTTGAACAAATTTGATGAGCTCAGCAATGTTCCCAAGAAAAGTGCTTTTCTCAGTGTGATAAATGAGGGTGCAAACTTGAAGAAACGTTTACCAAAGGCAGTCATCATTGGTTCAAATAAGTCCGGCACTCGGGCATTGCTTGTTATTCTTAAGATGCATCCAGACATTAAAGCATGCCCAGATGAGGTACACTTTTTTAACAGAGAGGAAAACTACCTGCTTGGCTTGGAGTGGTACCGAGCAAGAATGCCCAAATCTACTGGAGATCAGTTGACCATAGAAAAATCTCCTGCCTACTTTACAACAAGAAGTGTTCCTGAACGTGTGTATAACATGTCAAAAAATATCAAGCTCTTGGTGATTGTCCGGGATCCAACAATTAGGGCAATTTCAGAATACACACAGTTAGTATTAAAGCCGAACAGCTCCCTTCCAAAGTTTGAGGACTATGTTACAAAGAATCGAAACACTGTCAACAAGGAAAGAGGCATAGTGAAATCTGGAGTTTATATCAAACATTTGAACCGCTGGCTGAAGTTTTTTCCACTCGCACAGATTCATTTCGTCAGTGGAGAGCAGCTTATCAGAAACCCAGCTACTGAGATAAAACTTGTTGAAAAGTTTCTTAACTTGAGGCCCTTGATAACAGAAAAGAACTTCTACTTTGACAAAACAAAAGGATTTCCTTGCTTTATTGGAAAAATTGGATTACATGGAAAGAAGAAGAATGGCTGCTTAAAGGGAGCAAAAGGAAGAAAACATGTTCCAGTTGCTAATGACGTGGTCAAACTCCTACAGGACTACTACAGGCCTTTTAACCAGGCTCTGTATAAAGTTGTAGACCGGGATTTTCACTGGGCATGATCATCCTGAAGTCTGTCGTTGAAATTCTAAATTTAGGGAATATTTAACTATGTTATTTGCCAAAGGCAAAGTAAACATAGGTGAATATTCACTGAGATGAAGTCGAGGTGAATATTCACCAATGTTCACTGAGCCTGGGGTGGTGAATATAAAATCACATGAGGAATCACTCAACCAATCAGCTCTGAATTTATACTAATATTTATTATAAAGACTTTCCTCTTGTGGTCAGTTGACTGCTCTTCCAAGTAAAATTGTAGACCACCTGTCAAATTTTACACTGAATTGTTATAGATTGAGTCTGCACAGTTCTGATGCTGTACTACCTGGCAACGTCAAGAAATGTCAGCCATACATGTGTAAAATCATCATAATAACATGCTATATATAAATTGCTATGGATATGTTTATATATAAATTTATATTTATAAATTTATATATTAATTTATACATATTGCTATCTATAAATTGTGATATATAACTTAATAACATGTATGTTTGATTATTTGTGTATATAACCTTCCTGGAAAGGAAACTGCTATCTCGTTGAAGAAAGTAAGTTGTTGTGTTGTTAGGAATTTTGTGGCATCACCTGGGTGCCTCTCTACAAACAATTTTACTGTAGTGTTCCAAAAGTACTGCAACAATAAATTAATCTTTGACACTACAGGTGACCCCCTTGCAAACTCGAACCAAAATAAATCAATTTCCTGGCCTGCATTTCCTTTATATATTTACTGTAATTTTACCCTTGGAAACTCAAACCCTCAATAACTAAAACCTGCCACTTACCCAAAGCAATTTTGTTTCTCTCCAGGTCATTTTCTTTATAATTTTACCCTCAATAACTCAAGCCCTGTTTGTCAATACACAACTACTCAAGACAATCTGGCCCAGGTTGTTCAAAAGGTGATAATGCTATCCACTGGGTAGTGATTTATCCACTGCCAGTACTGCAGTCCAAAACACTGGATTTCCCTTGAGGGTTCAAGTTATCGGGAATTGACTGTACTTTCAGATGCATTAACCTTCTTGTGTTGCTATTTTTAGAGGAGCTCAGCGCATAATATGGCACGCACTATAGTCCATCACAATAAAAGTACAAATGTTTGCATAAAACTACAGTAATTATTTCTGGAAGGAATCTTTTTTTTTCTTTTTTTAAATTATGTTTTTTTCAAATTAATGACAAAAAGAATTGTTATCACATTGAACAAGGTAATCCTATTTTCCTTTGAATAATTACTGTAAAGTTCATCTAGAACAAGCAGCAAAGTCAGTTTGGTACAGCATGCAGTATTGACTGTTATTTCCATAATTTGTTTCTCAAAAGCAAGTTCAGTTGGTTTTGAAATTGCTAGTTTTGGACCATTTCATAGGTTACAACTTTTGGGATCTGCTAAGGAATGGACCATTACATTTTTGAATGACTGATGCAGGTTTTTCAAGCGTACTGCTTCAGTGTTTTATTTTGTATGTAAATATTTATTCCAGTCTGACTTGCAAACTGAAACATGGTCCTGTTAGTTAAGGCTCGCCTAATTATATGATGAGACTTATTTAAACAATTAACTACAAATTTGTTATTGCTAGGTTACAACCTAAAGTAAACGAGGGGAAGGATATATTATATATAGAAGAATTAGAAATATATCATACAATACAGAATTAATGCATTTTAGGTTACCAACAAATTAAATAACAAAATAATATCTGTTGTACCATTTTAAAGTGAGAAATATTTTATATAAGATATATTAATTTCTGTTGTCAGGGAGTCTATACAACAATATTATTATAAATAAAAATTATATTATGTTTGAAAAGGAATAAAACTTCCAGTTCTATTCAAATTAACCATCAATTTCCAAGAAATCCTCCCCCCCCCAAAAAAAGAGACAATCTTGACACTCTCCTGAAAACTTCTGGCATGCTGAGACAGTCTGAGATACACTGACTGTATTGTTCACTGCGTTATTTGGTTCATTCGTGGTAGGGTGTTTTCTTCATTCTTGAGGCTATTTGCTGGTTAGTCCTGAACATTATGCTTCGTTCTCATCCATTCTGGTCTATTTGTTATTTCAGGTCATTATTGTCTCAGTCTGGCTCACCGTGTTGAGGAAACATGTTTTGGACAATTATGTAAACATAGGGTCTTTGTTTTCTCAAATGTTGTAGTAAATAACTTTTTTGGTATCTGTAGGTTGTAATAATTACCAATATTTTTGTTTTGTTTCCTCAGAAACAAAAAAGAAAACAAACATTGTTCTAGCTACAGGGTGAACAAAGTAGTGATAGCATTCAATCAGAGTAACGTTCATAGATGTAAATGGCAATGCAAAGATGCATTAGCTAGAAAAACAACCTGATGAGCACAGGTTGTTCAGATAAATTATTGCTAATGTGATCATCATGAACACATAAAACAATAACAAAACGTAAATTTGTTAAAAATTGAAATTTTAGATGACTGAAGCGATTCTACAGGTATGTAGATTTAAATGACATAGTATCCAAATGCCATGGTATCCCTTTCCATGTTGAGCTGTAATGCTGTAATGGCAGAATAATTATTGCCAAATTTCTTGCATACTATTTTGCATAGCCTGTTTGAAGGATTGATGTGGCATGGAGCAGCACTTTAACTGTTGCCTAGTATATGCATGCAACTAGGGTATAATGCTTGAAATGCTAAATCACTGATTAGTTAGTGTAATGAAAAAACACCTGCAAAAAGAAGTTCTACTGTTGGTCAGTGTTAGTAATTTACTCATACAGCACAGGTAATCAACAAACCTCACTTCCCAATTTTGCACATCATTATTTTTTCCTACATGTACACAGATCATACTACTTTTGATGATATTTCTCCTAATAATACATATTGTAAAAAATAAAATGAAATACCCACTTCTTGATAAAATCTGATCTACATGTACATGGTTAAGAGTCCATAGTAGTTAACATCACCAAATCCTATCCTATCTAATCAGAGTAATTTCCTCCAATCTTTCAACAGATCCTTATCCAGTTCTCTTCACCTCCATGGTCCACCAAAGGAGTTCTCCATTTTTACTTAACATTTTTAGTCTAAATCCTGATTTAGAGATACATTTGTTCAGCTAAAAGACCCATAAAAGGAGCTTGATCATTCTACATTTAAATTTATCCCTAACTTGTTTGTTATCGGCCTTTCATAAAATTTCCATGATTTCCATAATAACATTTTTGAATGACACAAGTTAAAATTCTATCATGTTCTTGCATTTCCCTAAACAATAAAAATCCTGTGCTTAAAATTGCCAGTGACAAAATCTGTCAATCATTTCATCATAAACATAAAAAGGAAACAACTATTAATACTAAAAAAAAGGTAAAGTAATTTGAGTGTTACAAGATATCATGATTTACCACACAACTAACAAGGCCTGCAAATGGACTAATGGTATCTTGAATATCACCTTGCCGGCAAGAGGTAGCCAAAGTCTCTGTCAGTAAGTAAACCATTTGGAGGAATTATCAAAGACAAATTTTAGCTATAACAAAGTGCACGATCTACGTTGAGAGTCATGCTGGGAATATGAGTTTGTACTGCCATTACTCTTCTTGTCCAGGTGGCTTCTTTCACTGCTTATGGATTGAGTCACATTTGAGGCGTCAACATATGCTGTCAAATCAAAAGATATCAATCAATCAATCAATACGAGTAACTCACTAGATATAATATGATTCACTGTGGTGGCTCAAGGTTGCTTGATGTTAATTCAATTCAACTCAATTCAATTCTTTATTTACACTACATGATTGTATACATGGCATTTAGATACATTTTGTTGGTAAAGTAATGAAAATAGTAAAACAAGTTAAGAAATTAAGAAAGAAATTCCTTATTTACCATGAGGAAATAAAATTTGTAAGTGAATGGTGGCCAAAGTAGCAAGAGCTTTCTGGTTGGCCATTGCCATCTTCAAGTAAATGGCAGCAAAAAAATTAATTGGGCTAAGCTAGATCTACATACACACATACAAACCTACATACATACATATACTACATTCACACTTATATAATATTAGCAAAATCAAACAGCAATTGAAAGTAAAACAAGGCAGCAGCAAAATCAAGTTTGATTAATCAGAAGGTGGCATTTGTACTCTTTCTTAAAGACACTTAATTCCCAAATCTTTGAGCCAGAAAATGTATAGGTTGACTCACTTATACATGTAGATTGGATTTGTCCTCTGATTACTATTTAATATGTATTTAGTCTGGTTACAAAAATACCATCTTGGTTACATGTAGGTAGGTATCTAGGTAGGTAGGTACAGGTAAAGTCTGCATTCATGCCTAGTGGTGAGGCGCTGTTAGGGGGGTTGCTCATGTCCCCTGTCTGAATTTCACAAGCAGCTATGTCGGCACTTCGCAAGGTTCTTATGTCGGAATTTCGTCTTATTATTAATAATAATAATAATAATAATAATAATAATAATAATAATAATAATAA